ATTGCTAAAATAAAATATACTGCCAATACCGAGTGTTGACAAGGATATTGAGCAACTGGAACTCTCATACATTGCTAGAGGGAATGCAAAATGGCCTAGTCACTTTGGAAAAGAGTTTGGCAATTTCTTATGAAGTTAAACATACATGACCCAGCAATCCTACTGAGTACCCTAGAGAAATGGAAACTTATGTTCACACAAAAAGTTATACATGGATGTTTGTAGTAGCTCTGTTCATGATTGCCCAAAACTGAAAACAGCACAAATATCCTTCAAGTGAATGGCATATCCACACAATGGAATACTATTTAGCAATAAAAAGGAATGAATTATAAGTATATGAAGCAACTTGCATGGATCTCAAGTGTATAATGCTGAATGGAAAAAAATGTCTAAAGGTTACTATATAATTCCATTTATATAACAATGTGGAAATGAGAAAAATATATAGAGATAGAGAACAGATCAGTGTTTGCCAAGGATTAGGGACATGGGGAGGGGGTGAGTATAAAGGGATAGCCTGAGGGAGTTTTGGGAGGGGTGATGGAACTATTCTGTATCATTACTGTGGTTACATGAATCTCTACGTGTATTAAAATCTTAGAACTGTACCCAAGAAAGCTTTACTGTATGTTAATTTAAAATTTTTTTGTGTGTGTGAGGAAGATCAGCCCTGAGCTAACATCCACCAATCCTCCTCTTTTTTTTTTTGCTGAGGAAGGCTGGCCCTGGGCTAACATCCGAGCCCATCTTCCTCCACTTTATATGGGACGCTGCCACAGCATGGCCTGACGAGTGGTGCATCGGTGTGCGCCTGGGATCCGAACCCAGGCCACCAGCAGCAGAGCGTGTGCACTTAACTGCTACGCCGTGGGGCCAGCCCCTAAAATTTTTAAAAAGTTAAATAAGAGCAATAGGAAAAGATTGTAGTTTAACCTTGTACAAAATTGCTTTAAGATAAAAGAGAATAAGGAATAAAACAACATTCCTATAAACAATGAAAGGCACACCAGCAAGTCATATCTACATACTGTGTCATAATGTTTCAAAACTAGCTAAAAAATTTCAGAAAATGGCAGACATTCTGAAAGAACAATACAACAGTATTACAAGAACTCAGAGAGAAAATTTGAAAAGAACTCAGGAAAGAATTAGAAATAAAATAAAAAACCATTTCAGAAGAGAAGACCAAACTAGAAGGAAAACAAAAATGAAAACATGCAAGAAATGATGCCTTAGGAGTAATAGGAGATGGAAAGGAGAAAAAAATTTCAAAATCAAGGATAAATGAACGAGAGAAAAAGGATTAGAGAGAAAATGATAGATATACAAGATAGGCAATGAAGATCTTCATTAAGACTTGCAATAATTGTGCAGTCAACAGAACAATTGCCAAGAATGATTCAAGATAACTAAAATTAAGAAAAAGATTTAAAGTATGTTTTGAGAGAGTATACCATGTGCCCAGGAAAATCATACCTTTGGCATCTAAGCATAAAGACCAGTCACTTGAAAGGAAAATCAGATTGTCATCTGACCTTTCTACAGCAAAGCTTTATTCCAGAAGACAATGTATATTTTTCTATTTAAGTTATACAAAGACATAAATTTTGGGCTAAGAATTTTACATCTAGCCAAATTGTTATATACATGGAGAAGCTTAGGGAATATTATTTCCCTAACCCCTTCCTGAGGGATCAACCAGAAAATGAGCTTCAGAAAACTAAAATAGAGAGACATCAACCTAAGGACTGGGTGAGCATTAAATATATAATAACCTGTATATCTAATACCAAGTGGTGGTATTAAGTAGGAGAGTATAGTATTATTACTTAGATATGGTAAATATGTGGATATAATTCTCCAAGAAGTAGGGTGAGAATGTGGGGAGTATATGAAAAATACAATAAGCTTGAAAATTACCTTATAGATATTAACAGGGAGTAATTCTTTTAAATCAGAGGCTAGGTGGGGGAGAAGAGGTTAGTAGTTATTTTCAGTATTTCTCATGTTAGGAAACCAGTAGATAATAGCAAAATAAAAAGAGGACAACAGTTATTATGTAAATTTATTAGGATAAATACCATTGGATCAAAAATGTAAACTTGACCAAATATGGAAAGATAAAGAATAAGTAAAAATGGTATATGTAGTGAAAGGCTGTAAATAAAAGATATGGATGTGTGCATGTTCAAGTGTTTATGTATCATAAATCAAAATGAGAGAACTAAGGCCAAGCTCTGATTATATAAAATATGCTGCTATTTATCGAAAACAGGAAGGATACTGTAGTTTTTTTAAAAGTCTTTTTAGTTGTTACCTACAAGAGAGGGGAAAGGAGTAGGATGAAGAGGACTTCTTTCACTATACTTTGTTTTGTAGGTTTGAGTTGGGAACTATATAAATGTTACACAATTGTAAAACAAAATTAACTTTCAAAAAATTCCTGAAACCAAAGGAGAAATGAAACAACTTAATCTAAATGTGTATCCGGTGGTTACATATCCTAAGAACAAAAGAAACTACAAAAAAAACCCACCATACATTGTTTTTAGTAACCATATTAGTGGTAGCAGTGTTGATATTGTTATTCTGAGAATGTTGTGTGCGTAGTGTGGAATAAAATAAATGAGCAATTTGGTGGAAGTCTTTTAAAATCAAGATTTTCAGTATGGAAGAAAGGAAAGGTAAGATTGATAACATTAAGCAAAAAACCTGTAGTCCTGAATATGTATTGGGAGGATTATTTTGAACTCAGGCTGTATTTTGTCTTTAACTATATGTCTTATAGCTTAACGATAATCATCAACAGAGCAGGAGTCTGAAATGCTGGTCTGTCTGAATCCTGTGTTCTCACTAAATCTCATTACTACTCTTTCTTTTACTTTGAACCATTTCTCAGCTTTTACTGTCAAATCATTTATTGCTAGAGACTTTGTCTGAGTTCCCTTCTGTATTGTTTCAAGGACAACCTTTATAGCATCTACACCAAATGATAGTTTCATCAGATCCACAAAACGTACCATACTGTAGTCACAGCAGTATTTGTGTTGTAATCATTCTATACTCAACTCAGCATCTTAGAATATTCTGTCTGTTCCATTACCTAGATTGCCATTCTCCATTATTTCCTTCAGCTTACACCCAGTATACTCTTTGTTATAGAGTTCCCAGTGCTCCAGGCTACCAAGACTCATTCTACCAAATCATTGGTGATCCTAGTCTCCCAACATTCTCAAGTCCCTTTGCTTAACATTACATAGGCCTTTTATTATGCTTCAAACCTATTGTAATGCCTGGAAAAAATAATACTTAATATAAAAATATAGTGGTTTTGGTGAGAAAGGAGTGGAAGGGAGGTCCTGAGAAAGGCCTTGGAGGAACAAAATAGATTGTGTATTGGAAGGAAGGCTGGGTAATACTGCAAATTCAAGGGAAGATTAAAAGAAAAGGTACCTCACTATAGTGGTTGAAATAGGGAAACAAAAAAAAAAGTTGTGACTATACGTAAATGATTGCCGTGATCATTGGTACAGGTATATGTTAAAGGGCGAAACAATTGGATGGATGGGTATTTAGGTAGATATAATAACATTTTTCCATTTGCATCATTTAATAATCTAGCTTTGGTTGTGATTTTGTTTTAGTCTCTGAGGGAATTGATGAAGTAAAGAGCATGTATTATCTTTTCGGTGATGTGAGAGAGATTAAAATCAGGGACAGAGGTTTCTATTCTAACTATTCTATAATTATAAGCACAAATGATTGTTATAGTTTTAAATACCTTTCCTAGTTCTATATCTGTATAATATTTCCCTTTATCCCTATAATAATTCTCTTTCATTAATGCAGTGATTCATTCATTAAACAACTATCTATGGAATACCTTTTATGCGTAAGATTTGGTTATTCTTTGTTGAGTGAAACAGGCATTGTTCCTGCCCCTTAAGAGCTTTAACAGTAAGAAAATAAAAGATTACATAGGAATAAATCATTGTATACTTCTAAAATACAGAAAATTGCAATGATAGAGAAAATACTATGAGATAGAGAATGAAGAAGTGAATTTAGATAGGGTTGGCTAGCTCAACCTTTCTAAGGAAGTGTCTTATAGTATGATATGAAGCCAGCCATGCAAAGAGCCAAGTTTAGAGAATTTCTAACAAATTAAACAGTCGGTGGAACATTTTGAAAAGGTAAAGGACTTGGCTTATTTCAGATGCTCAGAGATGATGAATATTTGGTACATAATGAACAGTGGGGAGAAGTGGGTCAAGAAGATGTTGGATAGGATTTTGATTGAGATATGTCAAAGAAAAGATAAGATTATGGAGGATCTTATAAACTGGTAAGGAGTTTGGATTTTATCCTAAGTGCAGTTGGAAACCATTGAAAAATTCTAGGTGGGATTCTTAAATTTTGTGCAATATCAGAATTGGCTGGTTGAACGTATTCAAAATAGGAAACCCAAGACCTATTGGTGTAAATTCTTTTTTTTTTTTTTTTTTGGTTTAAAATTTTTTAATTTAATTTATTTATTTATTTTTCCCCCAAAGCCCCAGTAGATAGTTGTATGTCATAGCTGCACATCCTTCTAGTTGCTGTATGTGGGACACGGCCTCAGCACGGCCGGAGAAGTGGTGCGTCGGTGCATGCCCGGGATCCGAACCCGGGCTGCCAGCAGCGGGGCACGGGCACTTAACCGCTAAGCCACGGGGCCGGCCCTGTAAATTCTTATTTACTTAATTGACATCCAAGTTTTTAATAGACTATGTGATTCTAGTCTACATCTGAATTTAGGAGCTACTGACTTAACCTGTTTTCCTAACAGCCTCCTTCATCTTTCTTAAGTGTTTATGCTCTTGACCTCTTTTTCAAATTGAAGGCCATGTTTACTTCTTATGGACGTTATTTTCAGTTTTTCCCCAATTTCTACCACAGAACTTTTATTTCACCCCAAAGAGGAAACACCATGTGTTTACTTTCTGGTTATCTTTCAGACTTGGAGTTCAGATGTAAGACCAATGAATTGTGTCTGCAAAAAGAAATCAATGAAGTAACATCATCCCAATGGATGATAATGGAAAAAAGTCAGAGCCTTGTGGGCTCCAGTATCAGAGAGGACTGGGAATGCAAAGGCCAGTTTGAGAGGCAAGAGATAAATCAAGAGGGATATTTGGGGCAAGCATTAATGACTTATGAAAAAATGCCAACTTTGAGCCTGCAGACATCTCTTACTCTACATCAGCGAATTTATTCTGGAGAGAAACTCCATGAATTCAAAGAATGTGGGAAGGCCTTTATTTATGGCTCAAGACTTATGCAACAGCGAGGAATTTATATTGGTGAGAAACCATATAAATGTAAGGAATGTGGGAAGGTCTTTAGTCATTTTTCCTATCTTACTGAACATCAGAGAATTCATACTGGTGAGAAGCACTATGAATGCAAGGAATGTGGAAAAGCTTTTATTCGTGGCTCACATCTTATTCAACATCAGAGAATTCATACAGATGAGAAACCCTATGAATGTCAGGAATGTGGGAAGGCCTTTAGACAATCTGCACACCTTACTCGACATCAGAGGATTCATACTAGTGACAAGCCTTATAACTGTAAGGAATGTGGGAAATCTTTTATTTGTGGCTCAGAACTCACTCGACATCAGAGAATCCATACTGGTGAGAAGCCCTATGGTTGTAAGGAATGTGGGAAGGCCTTTAGACTGCGTTCACAACTTGGTCAACATCAGCGACTTCATACTGGTGAGAAACCTTATCAGTGTAGGGAATGTGGGAAGGCCTTTCTTCGTGGCTCACAGCTTACTGAACACCAGAGAACTCATCCTGGTATGAAACACTATGAATGTAAAGAATGTGGGAAGGCCTTTATTTGTGGTTCCCAACTTTTTCAACATCACCAAATTCATACTGGTGAGAAATCCTATGAATGTGCACAATGTGGGAAGGCCTTTGTTTGTGCCTCACAACTTACTCAACATCAGCGAATTCATACTGCCAAGAAACCCTATAAATGTAAGGAATGTGGGAAAGCCTTTATCCGTGGCTCAGAACTGACCCGACATCATAGCATCCATACTGGTGAGAAACCCTATGAATGTAAGGAATGTGGGAAGGCCTTTAGACAGTTGGCACACCTTACTCAACATCAGAGAGTTCATAATCTGACATAATTACTGTAGGAAACCCTTTGTTTGCTGTTCCTTTGTCACAGATCATCAGGTTTCATGGTAGAGTAAAATACAGTGGATGTGGCATTTCCTTTTACCTGACATTCAGAATCAGAAAATTTAATACTGAAAAAAATTGACAGTGAATGTAGAAAAGTTTTCTATCATGATTCAAACCTTGAAATTCTACAGATTCACACTAGAGAATGTAGTGAATGAGGAAAGGCTACCATTTGCTATTTATGTGACATATAGGCATTTTAACTTCTCTATGCTTAAATTTACTAATTGGTAAACTGTTGATAGTATCTATTTGTAATAAAGAGTCTGACTCCAGTTGTGATGTCTGACTTCTTTTTAAGCCTCACTTCTCTGTCCACTTTGGCCCCACGTCTGGAAAGGCTGATGAGAGGGCCTCATGTACACCTTTGGAGCCAGTGGGAAATTTAAACTTTGCAAATTCCAGCCCACATCCAGTCCCGCCCTGTATAAAAGCCAGCCTGTTCTCACTGCCTTGCTCAGGCCACTCCGCACCTGCTTGTGCAGGCCCTGCTCTGCCCAGGAGTCCCTTTTGTGAGTAATAACCTTCAAAATCTCTTGGTGTGTAGAGTGTCATCAGCCTCAACATTCGATGTAAAATTGAGAGGGACGTCAATCCCAACTCCGTGCAGTGACTGCAGATTAATTTGTGTAGCTGGCAGGACAGTCTCTAGGCTGTGACCACCACTACTCGCAGATCTTTCTCCTCTTGCTCTTAGCTTACTCACTGGGTACACCCCACTCTAAATGGTGTGCGAGATGGCTCTGCTGCCTGCTGGCAAGGTTGTGCTTTGAGTTGTGCTGCTCTGTGCTGCATTTGCTGAGTGCTGCAGAGCCTCCATTATAGATTTAATCAACCTAAGTCAGAAGTTCTTATAATTGGTGTTTAGGGATGGGCTTACGAGATTGCAGCCCTCCTTAAAGTGGCCCTGGGTTGTATGTCTTAGCCTGGATACATCTGTGTGTGTCTTGGTTCCACCGTACGCTGTGACTGATGCTAGGCTCAGGGGAATGACTCTTAGCTTGTGACTGCTGGTTGTATGTCTCAATCAGGCATTGGCTCCTTTTCTATACAAATGGTCAGGGAAAGACTGATACCCTGTACAATATACACACCCATCAGCTGGTTGCTTGCGAAAGAACAGTCATTAGTGAGTGAAAAAGCAGTCATGTGGTTTGCTGAGGTCTCTACTCTTAAGAGCAGATGGCTGACTAAGACCTTTGAATATTTCTGCTGCTGCTGCCCATGACTCAGTCACAGCAAAGATCTTGATCCTCAGGGTTATTTGAAAAAACACCTATGGTGTCTTGTGGCACAGACACTTTTTATAGATCCTACTACTGAAGTCAGTCCCTGTTTCAGAGTTTCCAGGGCTGTCTTCTACCACTGCAGAACCCTCACCAGAAGACCTGGTAAGGTAACACTGTCATCTGGGCTTCTCGTCCCAATAAGACCCCCAAGGAGCTCCAGGTTCTTCTATGACAAACTTGACAGAGCATCCAATCTCCTCCTTGCCCAAACCTAGGTCTCTAAGATGTAGGACCTACTGCCCCATTCCCTAACCTGAGTCAATGGCAACCTCTCTAGCTTGACAGGGACAGAGCATGCCCGGGGACCCCAGCTACCACCTGCAGACAAGCGACCCTGTGCAACTATGGTGGCCCACTGGTCACCACACAATGTCTAACCTTTTATAACCTTTATTGATACCAGTTTCGAAATCATGGTGATCTCCAGAAACCTCACTAAATTTAAAGGAGGAACTCACTGTATTCTTTGGGACATTATTGGACATAAAATTAAAGGCAAACAAGTCCATGTTACCTTGACCATTGGCACAATAACTGCCTAATTTTCTGGTGGTCATATCTTACACCCCCTTTGGATTTTCCATTATGGGGATAGATGCTCTAACCAGTTGTGTGGTCCATTAGAATAAAATTAAAACTCTGGCCCTTAGTGTTGGCCTTACCAAATGGAACTTTGTGGATCTCCCCCAACCCATTAAAATTGTTAATATGGCCCAATATAAATTGAAACAGGGCCTTAGAAGGAGTAATTATCCTCACTAGTTCTCCATTTTATGGCCCAATTTGGCCTATCTTAAACCTGGAAAGAATGAATGGTGCCTTACAGAGGATTACCACACTGTTAATGCCATGGTCCCACCCATTAAAATAGGATTTAACACAATTGAAATGACCGAAAGGGTACAAGCTTTCAGTTGTAAGTTCTGGGGATCTAATGTACAGCACGGTGACTAATAGTTAATAATACTGTGTTGTATACTTGAAATTTGCTGAGAAAGTAAATCTTAAGCATTCTCACCACACACATGCAAACACACACACACAGAGAAGGGTAACTGTGAGGTGATGGATGTGTTAATTAACCTGGTTGTGGGAATCATTTCACAATGTGTATAGTCATGCACTGCATGATGACGATTTGGTCAACGACAGACCGCATATACGACAGTGGTTCCGTAATATTAGTACCATATAGCCTAAGTGTATAACAGGCTATAACAGCTAGGTTTGTGTAAGTACACTCTGTGATGTTTGCACAACAACAAAATCGCCTAACAATGCATTTCTCAGAACATATCCCTGTTGTTAAGCTACGCATGACTGTATATCAAATCATCACGTTGTACATTTTAAATATATACAACTTTTTCTGTCAATTATACCTTAATAAAGCTGGGGTGGGGGAAGAAATGACCAACACCATTCAATCTTTCACTACCAAATACTTTGCTATTATAGATTTAGTTAATATGTTCTATTTAGTAGCTATTTCAACAAGCTCTCAGTTCTCATTCAGCTTTCAAGGGACACAATACATTTTTACTCAGTTGCCCATGGGGTACCTAAGTAGCCTGGCTGTTGCACGTAACTTCTGCTGAGAAGACCTCAATTGGATCCAGGTGTCCCTGTGTTCCCAGGTATGGCACTACACTGATGACATTATCAGGTTAAGATATTCACTAGACACTGACACAGGACATACAAACATTTGTCACTGCACTTACTGAGAGGGGATGGCTGTTGCTCCACATGAGGTTCAGGGACATGACACCTCAGTTAAATTCTTAGGCTTCATCTGGTCTGCTGAGGGCAGCTCCATTCCTGATGTAGTTAAAAGGCAACTTCTAACTTTATCAGCCCCAACCACTCAAGCAAGCCCAACACCTCTTAAGTCTCTGGGTTCTGGAGGCAACATATTCCTGTTTACAGGTATTACTAAAGCTTATTGATGCCTTCACCTGCAAACCACTGTGAATGGGAGCCCTTTACAAGAGAAGGCCCTAGAGTCAGTCCAGATGACCATATAACATTGCTGCTTTTCCTGCCTCCTGGAGATTCCTTCATGGTGGAAGCTCTGGCAACCACTTGTTATGCTTTTTGGAGTCTGTGGACCACCCACAATGGCTATAAGTTGTCCACGGGCTTCTGGTGCAAAAAGCTGCCCACTTTAGCCCCATGTTACATGCCATTAGAGCTATAACTGCTGGCTGCATTCTGGGCCCTCCTAGAAATGGAGGCTCTCACAGGACCTGACCCTGTGACTCTCCCCCGCTGCTGCCCATTATGCTCTGGGTCGTAGAAACATTACCCTGCAAACTTCACATGGCCACTGAGATCTCCGTGCTGAAATGGAAGTGGTACCTACATGATAGTGCCAAACCTGGGCTCTCTGGCATATCCCACCTGCAGGAGGAAGTGACCTTCTCTGTCCTCAGTCCTTTGCTAGATGCCACCATGCTGGAGGAGGTCATCCCTCTCCCAGTCTCCTTGGTTACCTGGGAAGCCCCTTGGGACCAACTGAGTGAACAGCCAGTGGAGTTCGTATATTTTATGGATGGTAGCACCACCATCTCACATGATGGAGCTTGTTGAGGGCTGTTGTTTTTTATCCCTTAATCAAGACATCCCTGATAAAAGATGGGACCTAAGGGTCAGCACAATTGGCTGTACTCCAGGCAGTTGTCTTGGCATTGGAGTATGTCCTGGCCAACGGTCCGAGCCCATTGCAAATAGTCTAGCCATTTAATCCAGCCAGTGGCAACAACAATTTCTCATTCAAGGCCTCCCCCTTTGGCATAATAAAGAACTTTGGGTGATTCCTTGCCTCTTAGACATCAAGTATACAAATTAAGGTCACGTGCGTCTGCCTACATCAAGACTGAGATTGCTTAGGCCCAAATAATGCCCAAGCTGATAAATAAGCACAAATTGTAGAGACTCAGGCCAAGACTTCCTCAGATGACACTCCAGATCCCATTTTCCTATTATTTCTGGTCCAGCGGGCCCATGAAATACCAGAGCATCGAGGAGCTTCTGCCCTTAGTACTTGGGATGAATGCACAAGTTCTGTTCTGTCACAGCCAATGTGACAAGCCAGTGCAGTCTGTGGGAAGACCTGTCATTGGCAATGTAATTGTTGAGGTGCCATCCCACAGGCGTCCTGCTCCTACAGTTGCTGGCAAATTGATTTTATCAGGCCACTGCCCTCCTCTGCTGGTGCCACTCATTATGCCTTGTCCATGGTGCACACCTCCACTGGCATCTTACATTCCCACCCCACCAGACATATGACTGCAGAAGCTCCCATACATGGCCTCACTAAGACACTTCATTCCCTTGGGAGTTCCAGACATTTTTGACCAAGGCATTCACTTGACTTCTCAAAATACATAACCTTGGCCTCTTGAACAAGGCATTCAATGTAACTTGCACCTTCCCTCAGCCCAAGGCACCACACTAGCCTGCTTTAACAAACCTTACTGAAATTTCAAAATCAGTGTGGCCTTCTAAATGAGTCTCCGTCCTGCCACTGGCCCTCATTAAGTTCTTGGCCCCTGAGGCCCTCTACTCTGTACCAAAATGTACTGATAACATCTCAATTGCCTCTCCTTGCCCTCTGTGGTGACACTTCACAAATCAGGGTTTTTGAAGATCACACTGAACTAGAAATTTCTCACTTTCCTCTTCTATCCCTTTTGAGTCCTGTCCCCATCCCAATCTCAATGAAAGTCAGACCAAGGACAGATTGTTAATTATAATCCATTCACTATTGAAAGCCCGTCTGGCTATCTGCTAGAGCATTCGGGCACCCTGCTGATGATGATTTGCTTAAGCCACAAGCTTTGCCAAAATTTTAAAGCTATAAAGGATATTTAATTGATAATATGAAGATGATCTCACTCAGGAGAGATCATGGCCCCAGGACCCATACCCACAATAGTGTGGAGAGCAGAGAGAGGCCAACGAAAACTAATACTGGTCAATTA